TGGTTTCTCTCAGAGCCCTGAGATCACTGATAAGTCAGTTTCTGCAACTGAACATCAAGGGCAACCAAACTGCGAAGGAATCTTGGGAAGGGAGACCCACAAAGGTTTGACACGATGCACAGAAATCAGGGCTGACTTGAAAATCAATGGGGAGAGAGATGGCTTAATGGAATCAGCTGTAAACACACAAACAGACCTGCTTGGCTCGCAGCCCATTGTTTGTTTTTAGCTGAGAAGAACCTCCCCAGGATCTCAAGGGTCTTTATCTTGCCCTGAAATGTTGAAGTTCTAACTGCAACAGTAACCAAACTCCAAAAGTAACAGCAAGAGGTATCTTCAAATGAAGGGAACTAGCTATCCTCAGAGAAACCTGAGAGATTCCAGGTAAGCCAGGCAGTCAATGGGGCTTTCATTCCTGGTCCTTGGTTTGGATGGAGGAAGAGGAGAAAGCTGAAGTGGGGCAACTGAGCAGGGCAACAGGCATCCAAAGGAAGTAGAGCCAGGCACTGCCCACCATTATCTCCCACTTCTGGAGATCAGGGCTGCAGAAGGGGCAAGGAGCAAAGGCAGACAGGAGATGACAACAGAAAAAGAGAAGAAAGCCTGTGGACCCTTGGCTTGAGAGCAACAGTGTAGGGTCTTAAAGAGTCAAGGTGGAGGAAGGCAAGTCTCAGCAGAGATGCCAGAGGTGCGGGTGGGTGAGAGCCTGGGAACGCATGTCTGGGTTCCCTCCAGGCATGGGCAATGAGTCTTGAGCATCAAGCACGTGCAGGAGGGAGGCCTGGCCTGACCTTGAAGCTTGGCCTTGTCAGACAAACAAACAGACACACAAACAGACGTGCTTGGTTTCCTGCCCATTGTTTGTTTTTTGGCTGAGAAGAACCTTCCCCAGGATCTCAAGGGTCTTGAGATCCATATCCCCTCCAGACATACTGGATGAGTCATCCCACCCATTTGCGTATGCCCCTGCTCCCTGAGTCACCTTCTCTTTCAGATGCCCCAAGGGAGGACGAAAAGACTTACAATCTCCCTGGGCTCCAGATAGAGGGAGACCAATGGCACTTCCTGGGAAGAAGGGACTCCTCAGAATTCTAGTTTCTCTGGAGTGTCCCTTCTCAGATGGCCCCATAGCCATCCCTAGGCCTGGCCCAGCTCCCCACCAGCCTCACTTCACCCTTGTGGAAAGCTTTCTCCAGAGCTGTTGTTTGAAGTTCCAACTCAGCCAGCCCCACCCTAGCATGAAATCTGAGACTGGGGATAGAGCCTTCAGCCTTTTGCTGCTCCGAAAATCACTCCAATTTCAAACTAGAAGTGAAATACATCAGATTGGCTTCCTACCCATTCTTTAAGACCTTGTCCCAGCCCCACCTCCTCCATGAAGACTCTTCAAACATTCTCAGCCCACTGTGCTCACTTTTTCCCTGCCATCACCACCACCAGAGCTGCAGAAGGGGCAAGCAGCTCCTTTAGCCTTTAAGGTCTTTCCCTCTAATTTGGTACTTAACACACATTGGTTAATGCGGTTGTGTCTTGTGCTATGTGTCTTGTCCCTCTACTAAACTGTAAGCCCCATGAGGGCAGGTGCCATGGTGTATACTTTTCTGCATGACTCATACCATCAAACAAAGTGTGTGACACATATTAGGCATTCAATAAATGTAGATTAATTGGATAAGTGAATGACACAAAGATAGAGCCAAGAAATCATAACCTGTTCCTGAAAACCAGGGAGAAAACCTCAAAAAATAAACAAATAAATAAAATAAAGTCAGAGTCTGAGGCACAGAGAACAGAGGGTAGGCAGCCAACATTGTGTGTTAGGCACTAACAGTGTTTTTGTATGTTCTCATATTTAATCTTTACAATCAGTTCTATGTCTTATCAAATCTGTTTTACAGGTGAGAAAACCAAAATTCAAAGATAACAATGAACATTCCCAAGGTGGTACAGTTAATGAGTCTTGGGTCCAGGATTGAAACTAGGTTGCCTGCATGTAAAGCCCATGCTCTATCTACTTAGCCTCATGCCCACCCCAGGTACCCAGTGAGAAAGATGACAGCTAACCTTCTGAATTACCCATAGCCCAGTGAGGGTGCAGAAGAAAGGGATGAGGGGACTTGGCTTGTGCCCTTCCCCCTGCAAAGGGTCTCCTATTCCTGCACTTTGCTATGATCCATCCACTCAAAGTGGGGTATGAAGGAAAAGAGAGTCCTTAAATAGGGTCATCAGAGTCAGGCTCGCCATTCTAGAAATTATACCACGTCCCCTGGCTCTGGCTATTTGTAGAGAGGCTGAAGTTAGAGGCAGGAAGTCAAGAAAAAGTTCTTGTATCTTGTGCCCTCTGTGTGCTCTTATCCCAGCCAGCCTGCTTAGGGTCATCCAGTCAGACAAATGGCGTAAGTGCCTGGCCATCTGGTCATTCCAGGGGCAAGACCCTTCTGGGTCCAACAGGAGTGGAGGGGTTACACATGGTCTTCATGCACAAAGAACACATACACATAGACACAAACACACACTCCAGGGGTTCTGACCTAGGCTAATTAGCTTCTGGTGTCTGTGGGGTCAGAGAGCTGGTATATAGTATCTGAGTTCTCTTTGTGTTTTTCCTCTGTTTCCACCTCAACTTGGCCTTGGTAACGGCCTCCTGCCACATAGAGGAAAAGATAAGTCGCTTCTGGACTGGCTCCTCTGACTTTGACAGCTGCCTCCTGTGTCCCAGAAAGCTGCTGCTGCCAGTCAGGGACTATGGGATGCCCAGGGAGCACTGTCTCAGAGGATCACGTGAAAGATTTTCTTCTTCCACTTGGGCTGGGCTGGGGGCCTCCAGACTTGCTCCTTGGATGTGCAGGCCTCCCCACACCAGGCTAGACAGATGTGCAGCCCCAAGACACTCAAGACGGACAGACAGGACTGCAAAACACCAACGTCTTAGAGTAGGAGATGGAGGAGAAAAGTGCACACACACGCACACACTCTCTCACTCGAGAGTCTCGAGTCTCGGGAGTTTGGCCAGAAAAGTTTCCTGCGGGAGGAAAAGCCTCTTTGCTCCGCTGGTTTCTCTGGGAACCCAAGGAAATTTCCCCAGGATTCTTCTCCGGAGACAAGAGGCAGCGGCAGCAGCTTTCACAAACAGCAGCAAAACTTCACTCCTAAAAGTCTCCCAAAGTTCCCCCTCCCTCTCTCCCTCGTTCTTTTGTTCCCCACTGCATTGCCAACCAGGCAGCTCCCGGCTTCCCACACTGGACTGTCCTCCCCCAACCCCAAACCCTAAACCCAGCCCGCGCCTCGCTGCCGGGCCTGCCTGCGCCCCAGCCCCTCGCGCCCCGGCCGGTCTGTGGGGTGGTGGTGCTTACCCGCCTTGCAGGGGTCTTTGTAGTTGAGGGACTCCGAGTCGTCCTCCTCTCCCAGGTCATAGGTGTAGTCGACCAAGTCCAGCGGCCGGCCGGGGCGCGGGAGCAGCAGCAGCCAGAGCAGCAGCGGCAGCGGC